ATCAATCAATTTTCGATTGTTAAGAGAGAGGAGAGGAATGAGTGATGCAGTGGAACATTGACATACGTCTGGAACGAAAAAGGATCAATTGGAATGTCAGTGGTGGAACATGAAACGAGAATAGCATTGGGATTGCCTTGGAATAGGTGGAGAAAAACACTGGGATTCAATAATAGATTTCAAGATTAATGTAATTGGAATGCAACAGTGGACTATTGAATGCGATTGGAATATAGCACAGATTATCTGCAACAAATCCAGTCATAGGTCAGACACATCCAACGTTCCAGAGTAAGAGAGAGGGTAAGAGCACTATCCTAACCCCGGCTAGCAGCTGTCAAATGTATTTGCGCATGAAAATCCATCCGACACCATCCCAACCACAGTGCAACCTTGCCACAGACGCACACACATACGGAGAGACCCTCCCCAGAAGCAGGTTCTCCCCGTCTGCTGGAGGGGGGGTGAATGCAACAAGTTCCTGCAGTAGTCATTCCATTTCATTCGCTTCGATTCCATTCGATTCGATTCGATACCGATTCTTTTTATTGCTGTTGCTGTTTGTTCTTTGGCATTTGCAACTTTTGCATGGCGAACGGCAGCCTGCCCGCACTCTGGCTCCACTCTGGCTTCACTCTGGCCCCACTCGGGGCCCACTCTGCCCCCACTCTGGACGGTACTTTGCCGCTACTCTGGTCCACTCCTCTGATTTTGTTGCCAATCAACACCTAACCATCGTGCATGCCCAACCATACTTGTACCATGGCCCGATGGCAGTGCCTTTTGGCAGGAATATAAGCCAGGACTTTGCGTTATTGGCATTCGTCGTGATGTGGACACAGACTTCAGGACTTTTCGAATACACGGTGATGGACGATGGACACACGGTGCCAGATGCAGGTACAGACAGCGATAGGATACGGCAGGAATACAGAATCGGATTCCGATTCGGACACAAACACTTTTGGCTAATCGAATTTGAGTTTCAGCCAAATGAAGCGTATCAGGCAAATGCAATTGCAAATGTCGATCCCCCCACGAAGGAGAGTTGCAGATGGAAATGGAAATCGACAGCGGTGGCGATGGCGGTGGCGGGGGCGGGGGCGGGGGCGGGGCTCGAGGAAGTTCGTGGGGGATGCATTTACATAGTATATGTGGGCGTGGAACATCTGTGTATACTATATCGCTGGTTATTTAATCAAACATCTTCCTTTGTGTAGTTAATGGGACATTGAGGGAGCGAAGGGAAAGGGACTGAGGTGTGAAATGCATTAATGGAGTATTCATGGGGGAGATCCCCAATGCTCCACCCCCTCCACCCTCCTCCTAATTCGATTTTGTGCGGTGGTGGAGCGGTCAGAACTCAACTGCGGTGTCAAAAGCATTGTCGTCCCCACTCCATCCTTTGAGGCTGTTTTCGGTTGTCATTAGCGATGTTGAGCACTGTTAATTTGACATTATATCGATTAAAGGAATTACATCGGGAGTATGTCTGCGCTCGCAGCTCTAGGGGCACTGAGAGGTAGAGAGAGAAGGGCGGACGGTGGAGGGGGCAAGGGGCAGGTGGGACAATAGTTACAAACCAACTAAACATAGCACTTAAGTTGTCACTAGTCCTGCCATCGGCTGCTGCTGCTGCTGCCAACAATTCCTCAGGGCTCCATTTGAAGTTGTTCGAAATGTGCTTTTCTTTGGTCCAATTAAAAGTTTCTCCATCGAGCTAACTCCCGTTTATATCTGTTTTAGATACTGCAAGCGAATTAGCCAAGTTCTAAATGAACATCTCGTTGAATGTCCTCTTAAACGCTGCCCTGCTTCCCGCTGAGCGGCTGTCGACAGAGGTACATTTGGTCGTTTACTTATGGTAACTTTCTACAGGGAATCAAATCAAAATTCGACGAAAAAGCCCCAACGGAAGCAGAGTATAAAGATTAAAAAGTCAATGCAAGGCATGTGCTTGATTGCAAGCCAGATTTATCGAGAATTAACCGGGACTATCGACAGACTTTGCACTTTTGCTGGGACCGTTCACATCAACAATTTTAAGATGCAAAACCGCAGAAACACAGAGGATGACCATAACTACCAGATTGCCGAGTTACGATCAGAACAGATTATTATTATAGCCAGAATGAACAAATCAATTTGCAGTGCCTACGCAACCCCTCTCTCTCTCTCTCTCTTACACACATACTCTTTCTCGTGCAGTGTGCGCCTTCGGCGGAGGGGAGCGAGATATAATGGCTAGTTTTGGTGTGAGAAGCGAGAGAGGAATCACAACCAGTAGCATAAAAATGAAAATAGATAAAATATTCTGGAGCTCCGATGAGCGGAGTGCAAGAATTCAAATGAAAGCTTAACTGAAGGTCGTGGTACCTCTCTTTTTCCCTATGTTCTCCCCACTCTCAAAACAGGCTTGAAAACAATTCAGAGAATCCTCTTAATGAATCTTAAAAAAACTCGCATATTTGTGCAGCTAAGTATTCATCAAATACAATTTACTCCCAATAGTTCTGAAGCTATCAAGAACGTCCTCCAAGTGCTCTTCACCAAGTTTACACATCGATAAGTGGCGATTATTTTCGATTACGCTTGTGCTCCCCGCCTCCCCAGTGACCCAGTGTCCACTCGACAGTAAGTAGTCTCCCTTCAATCTTGTGTGGGAGAAGCCCGCTGTCTGAAAGCTATTTGTGGTGGATGCTAGGGCACCGGGGGATGGGACTGTGGTTAGCAGGAACGAGGGGAGGCCTCTGCCTGCATTGCGACAAGTTGGCGCCTCTATCAACTGGTGTCCAATTTGTTATGGACAGCTAAAAGTGGCAATGCGCGACGCCGTAAATCAGGTGTGCCTGTGGTCCTCACTCTTTCTCTGCCTCTCTGCGCTTATTTTTCGTTGCGTCCTGGTGCCTCAAAGGAGACCCTTAGGGACCGTCGGGTGGCAAGCGGCTTTGTCTTGGGGCAGGACCGCTCCGAACCGTGGGGCAAGAGCAGTAATCATCCCCACAAGGACGAGGGCTCACCCCCACTGCCTCGAGCTCTTTTCTCCCTTCCGTTGGTCGCCCGGTCAGTAATCAGTCCAAAGGCTTTGATGGCATCTTTAACCGCATCGAGGAAATTAAAAATTCCCTTTTTGTTCCAACCGAAAGCGAGCGCGTTGAGCCTCTGTGATACAGTGGTGCAGTGTCCTTCGATCCCCATGAAACCTTCTTCTTCTCTGAATATGATTAACTTATATTCAAATGAATGTACAAATTGTGATGGAATTTTGGGCTCTGGCTCTCACTTATTTTTGCATTGGCCGCTCATTTTCAGGTGCTCTCGGCATCGCCAATTTTTTGGTCATCAATATTTCAATATCAATATAATAAAAACAGCTAATTTTGTTCTTCAGAAATAAAAGTCGTGAAAGTGTGAATAATAATGTGAGGCAGGCTCAAACAAAATTAATTATAAAAGGGCTCGGGGAATGTTGGCAAAAAAATATTAGCCATAATTTCCCACTTTGGCGGAATTCCTTTATTTATTCATTTATACTCTCTTAGAGTAATTTCCAACATGCATGCTTTTCATTAAATGTCAAATTAAATTTTTGCAAAAAGTAAGCATATATTTGGACCACTTTTTGGTGGGCCCGGGACCACAGTGCACCATCGTTGGCTTTGCCACAGTCACCGTTTGTCAATTGTGTTTCTCATGAAGTTGAAAACGTTGCATTTCCGCTGACGCTGACACTGCCGTTGCCGTTGCCGCTGCCGTTGCCACTGTGCCTCTGCCATCGCCTCGGGCCAATGTCGAGTGGCAACGTGGCCGAGAACAAAAGATGGTCAAAACAAAAGACAGTGCAAAAAGGGTGCCACGGTGCTCCGGGGGTCTGGTCTGGTCTGGGATGGTCTGCTTCGGGGGTCTAGTCTGCTCCGGGGGTCTGGGTCTGGGTCTGGCTCTGGCTATGAACTGGGGGTCTATGCCCAGGCATCCGGAAGTTTGCGCTGACATTCATTACCATAATTCACAACAGCTTAAAACATTTATGTGGCTGCCGCCCAGCGCTCGCCGGGCCCCAGTCCCTGCCCTGCTCATCTCCTCCACACTCTTTCCCCTTCTGCCCCCCGTCTGATAAACTGGCCCCCGTCACCGGGCCCGGGAAACTGTCATAGCCTTGGCGGGAGTTCGTTGTTTGCTTGGGATTATGTGCAGGAGCATGCAAAATGGGATAATAAGGAAACTTGAAAATTTGTTGCAATTATTTTAACTGCTTGGGAATTGCACCTCCCTCCCTTGCGCCCCTCCTCCACGCGTCCACTTATGAGGCAGTCCACTCTCCCTCTGGCAGCCTACAGCTTCTTTGGGGGCGATACAGGCCATGTCCCAGGGAAATTCATTGGAAAGGCCTGTCCAATAAATTCTTGACTCCCCCGCCCCCTCCCCCTCAGTGTGGGACGACAGTATAGTGTGACGAGTACTAATGTACTTAACCATATTCAACAGCCACATATCAATTACAATAAAAACTATGGAACAAGCACAAAGATACACAGACGAGCGGTGGGGCAGGGGCAGGGGCAGGGGCAGGAGCAGGAGCACCGCTAGGGATGCCAGGAATATGGCTCGTACAATATACATTAGTATGGTTTGGGTTGGGTGTTTGGTCGGGGATTTATTCCCTTTCTACCGCTGCAAGTATGTGCTCAAAATCATGATGCATTTGGCATGGGTGAAAACAACTCAACTCAGGTGGAAATGAGTAAAATGACCTGCGCAGAAGATTTCCATTTCCCCTTAAAATTGTTCCGAACACTCGTTTTTCATTTATTTTGAACAAAACACAAAATTTTGTGTAGAAAAGCAGGCTCAAACTTTGATTTCTATCGGCTCTGCCTCAGTCTCTGGCCCCAGATTTCAAAACTCTCAAACCATTTTTAGTGCTCATACTGATCGGACATATAATTTTCCGTATCATATTATTCACATTTTTTTTTGTGCAACTCACATTGTTAAAATTGTATTTGTTCCACCCGATGAAACGTGGATAAGTTTTTGGCAAAAATGTCATCAAATGAGAATAAGAAGCAGATGAAGGCCGACCTACAGAACCCAGAGGGGAGTCGCAATCGCAACATGCAGTCTAATGCTGAGAAAGGTAAGCTTTAAGATGAATTTAAGATCCAGGATCCCCTGTCAACAGCTCTGATGCCACTGCAGAGAACCCTCTACAAGGAGATGACCTATCGCGCCTGGCGCCCATTGAGCGCGAATACTTTATGCGCATCAATCGAAAGGAGCAGTCTACTGGTGTGAAACAGCCGGAGAATTGGCGGGCCCGGCCTCCGCTATCCCCAGCCGAGCCATCACGCAACAGGAGTGGCACTTATGGGGCTCGTGGTAGAGCATCTGGAGCTGAGGATGAACTATTTCCAGACCCTTTCGGGTCGGGCCCCATGTATCAGGAGCAGCCGAACTTTGCCTTGGTTCTGACTTGGTCCTCCTACCTTATGAAACGTCGTGCGACCGTTTGTGGAGTACGTACAGCATTGGGGATGTCTCCAGCTGAGAACATGCCACCAATTGAAAACTGGCGCGATCGCCCAGCACCACAATTAGCAATAGATGCAGGAGCCGCTCCAGGCAGCAACTGGCGCCGACACTTAGATCACAACAATGATCGCCGCCAGTCGAACTCGACTAACTTCAATCAAGGCAATCGCAGCCAGGGACATCGCGGCACTCCGACTAGTGCCGCAGAACTGTTCCGTGGCAGCCAGGGGCAACAGACGCGCGCCCGGTCGGAATTCCAGGGCCTCCAGCAGTGGGATCGGGAGCGGGAGCGGGAGCGGGAGCGGGAGAGGGAGCCCCGCCAGAACTATGGGCCACATGGCCAACGCAACCAGTGGACTAACTCTGGCTTTTACGATCCACCGACACGCAACGATGGCCGCAATTACCACGGCCGAAACCAAAACCAAGCACCGGGAAACCGAGGAAACCCAAATGGCTTGAACGGCGCCACAGGAGGGCAGGCCGCCCATCGCCGAGGAGAGGCCTCTCGGGGATTGAGCTCGATGAGCGGATTCCAGCGGACTCGAAGCTTTGGCCCGTCTTTCCATGACCGTCCTCCTCCAGGCAATGGCGCCAACCCTGGACGACGCGCCTCGTCGTAATACAAATTACAATTATAATAATTAATAATTAAATTGTCAAAGATTTCTTCCGTTTAAATGCTATACGACTTTTATGGGGTACTAGATCTGGATATATTCAAAGTCAACTTTTCACTCTTGACCAAGTAGGCTGGGATTTGAACACCCTGTCAGTAGACTGGCTATCTAATCATTGTCATTCAGACAGTCAAGCAACTACACCGTTTCGAATCTAGTTTTGGATTTTGAAATATTTTTTCCGGACAAGGAAATTATTTTTCTGATTGAAAATCAGGTAAGGCCCTTGATATCTGGATTGCAATCATTTGAATACCACTGGGACTCGCAACCAATAGAATGTCCAATCTGATGAGCCAGCAAGATTGCGACAAGATCAAAAAGAGGCTCTACAACAGGGTGGGGCCACATCCCGACTGCAGCGATCCAGCAATGGCCTGGCCAAAGTCACTGGCCAACTGCCCCGAAATGGCCAAGCTGTCAATCAAACCAGAACCAATCACCGATGGACACGATCGCGGTCAGATGCTGACCATCGGTCTTCTGTTAGCCGATCAATTGGCCGAACCGAAGAAAGAAAATCCGATCTGGCCCTCGAGTGCGGAGGTCGAGAAGCGCCTCCGCTCGACTGGCATCTACAAGAACCGCTTGGTTGCCCCCCCTCCAGTCTTTGCCGCAGCCACTGAATGCGCTGGGGACCCAGGCGCCAACGATTGCCGCAATTGGAGGGCGACTGAGGACACATTCTCCAATTAGTGGCTAGTGGCTAGCCACTCTCTCCCACCGACTCTCCTCTCCATCCACTACAGATTCGCTTCCATCTTGGCCACACCACAAATTATGATAATACGCAATTTCCCTGTAACATGTCAAATTTTATCGTCGTTTCGTTCTGCAAATTAAAACATATTGTGTATGTGATCGAGCCCATGTTTTTATTTGCATGCAAGAAGCGATTAAAATAACTAATTAAAACTCTGAGCGAATAGTACTGCCAGTAGATTAAAAACAAAGGTATAATTACCTCGATGCAGTAAACCGCAAAAAACAACCGCATTTGACAGGTTTGTTCTATTTTAATACCCGTTACTCGAAGAGTCTGGGTACATATCAGTCTTGTGGTGGAGAAGGAAGCATCATCGACCCCAAATGACTGTCCATCTAGATAAGCGCCTAGATTTCAGAGTCTAAGGCAACCAAAGTTTGTATCCAGACTCTGTGATGTCACGTTGTTACCCGTGTATTTCGCCCCGACCTCTGCCCCCTCCCTTATTGCTGTTCATTTCCCCGCGAATATTGGTGTATTTCACGATCATCGATTGTTATGGACATTAATGACATATAAATAGGCATGAAGTGGGTCTATACAGATTGCAGCGTCATACTTGCTCGTCTAATTTGAAATATATTTTATACTCATATGTATTGAATGAAAAATGTTAACATAGACATAGACCCTTTACGTAAGCCCAGAAACCGAAAATGAAATAGTCGACTAATGCCAACAATTATAAAATAATGCAGAATGTGATAATATGTGTACAGCGATTGATAAGTTACGGGGTATCCAACAAGAACAAACCTTTTTTGCAACTAAGTGTTCATGGAAATGGAATGTATGTTATTGAAGTGAACTAATGTGCATGGATGCCTCTATCTCACGATATGTCACATGTCGATCTTGCTCTATCAGTTCCCACACTCCATCGATGAAATGATTTCAGACGACCTTCATGGAACTTGTCATCGACTGAACTACGAGCACGATTAAAATCCGGCATACCAGCGATTATCTGTAGTTTTTGATGGTACTTTCTCGACATACAAAGAACTAAGTTCATCAACACATTCTTGTTGGGATAATCCGCGCCGAAAGTTGTGAAAAGTAATCTAACGAAAACCCTTTCAAAAACCAATTGTACATATAAACATTGTACGTACATACATATATGCTAAAAAATGACAAAGCCTTTTATGGCGTTGTCAGATTTTACGTATTGGCATTAGTATTGCCAATTCCAGATACATAAATAGCGGCCCTCGTATCTTTGTGAGCAAAGGCGTTGCAGGGTTGGCTGGCTCATGATGTGGTATTAATTGTAATTAATTAATTAATTGTAAGAATGTGGCATTCAGAGAGCAGCCAAGTGGATATTCAGCAGCAGAGAGAGAGACAAGAATGCTTGCAACAGGCCATTATACGAGAATCTACTCTGACTTCTGGATTAATGTTGCACTAGTCAAAACGAAGGATTCAACTCAGGGGCTGTGTGTAGACTACCGTGTCGTAGATACGATGGTACTTTAAGATCGATTCGGAGTTTGTTGGTTGTTAGAGAAATTCTAAAGCAGGACAATATCTTTTGGCAGTACCAAATTGTAAAGCAAAGAAAATAATAATAAACTCACACAACTTTGGCCACATGGGAACGGCGAAAATAGATGTTTCACATACCACATTTTGAGAATAAAGTTAAGCAGGTCATCTACAATCAGAAGTTACATAGGCAGGAGGATTATTTGCTATCACTTGGATCCCTTGGGTTAGTTGGACACAGCATCGCGGGTCTGAAAAAATTTGGCAAATTAAATGAATTACATTTTCGGCATCCCGCAGAGAATTTTAAGCCATAACGGACAGATCGAACTGGTTAATAGAGCTATCATTACAGTACTTTCAAAGGCGTCAGCCCCGGAACCCAATGTCGAGAAATACGGCATCCAAGACCGACAGGTCCTGCTGAAGACCAGGCTCTGGCTCCTCTCTGTGGGAGACCGTGCAGACGGCAACCAAATTTCAGGATACTCTTTGATGTAGACTGAAATCTCGCCGGTCAGGATGTCTGTGTCGAAGGCTTCCCCCTCATGGAACCCCAAGCGAATAGTGCGGTCTGTCTCCTCATACGGCTTTGTCATTATTCATTGGAAAATAATAAAGATGTATTTAATTAATTTACTTCGTACTGGTATGCAAAAGTTGTTATTAATTAAAAAGTCAACGGCACCTTGTCAAAAGGGCCCCAGGGCCTCGAACGAATTGATGGCAAGTGCCTCGAGGCCGAAAAATATCCAGAAATTGCGGTCAATATAAGACCACAATCATAGATGGGTGGCAGGGGAGGGATTCACCTCTGGAAATAATTATCATAAAGTGTCAGCTCTGACACAACCAGGTTTTCCGTGCAATTAAAACCAGACTTTTTGTTCAGCAGAATGAGTACTTTTTCAATAAGATTACTACCCTTTTGAAACCTTTATTTCATATGACTCAGAAAATCAGTCCCGGTCGGCCCATTACAATTTTAAAATACATTTATCATAAAATAGTCCGAATAAAGTGAAACCATTCTGAGCAGTATGAGCTCTATAATCCGAATGTGCAACATATCGTTAAAGTATTTTTTTCCTTTTGGTAAAATATAAAAATCTATACAATGTGGGCACTCTTGCAGAGTTTTTGAAAATCTTATTGCTTAATTTTTGGGGTGAGGATGAACCTTGGGAAGGAGTGTAAAAACTATCAGCATACTCCAGGCAATAGATATTTATAGTTATGCCGACGACGAGAGCCATTGCATTTAGTTACTTGTTGATTGATGAATGACGTTTCGGAATCTCTTGAATTCCGTGCATTAAATATTGATGGCATTGTGTCAAATGGAGGAATATTCGACTGAGTTTTTGGACTACTCCACTCGGCAAAACCTATAATATATAAAGACTGCGGCAGAGCAACCGCAACGGTTTGTTCTTTGAACTGAAACAGAAGCAGAAACAGGTGCCATTCAGTGTGGAGTAATCCCAAATACAGATACCAAACACTACTCGAGTGGTTTATGTGGGCCACATGACAGGGTAAATGGGAGTATATGGGACTGGCACTGGCGTCACTTAATTACGAGTATGGCCATGCTAAGATCTAAATGGTAACTAAACCGATGATAGATGCAGTCTCTTGAGCTGTCTGCTTGTCTCCAGGGCCTTGTGTCGTCTGTGTGCATTTACGGCCGCAGATTTATGAGCAGCTAATTTACTAAGCTAATTTGTTGAAATTTAAATACACTTGCAGCTGCCGGAGGCAGTGACAGCCTGATGCCCGGCATGTTGTGACACTTTTCAAAATGAGATTTTCCCTTTCCCGATTCCCCAGGCACTGAGTGGATGAGTGGCTGAGTGGCTGAGTGGATGAGTGGCTGTGTGGGTGTTGAGCTGTTGATGCCACACGTTCTACATTCCCCGTCGTCCGTCGCCCACGTTGACGCTGGCATCCCCTCACACGCACAACGCAATTCCGTATGCAAATGTACCAGAGTATGTCCGGCTTGGTCCGGTCCGTACCCGACCACCTGCAGAGCTTATCTCTCCGGTACGAGTCGAGCAGCGACGTCCCACAACAATGGTGCACCTGCATCCAAGCCTTGGGCTTGGGATGGGCCAGGAGACAGCGAAAATGTCACGAGCACAACTGTCCACCGAAGGACTGAAATTAAGGAGCACTAGAAGGGGGTATCTCTGCTTCGTCGCTCGCATTTCTAGTCACTTTCGGAACTTGTGATTAAGCCTAATCATAATCGGTTCTTTCAGAGGGCTATGCGATCGCGGAATCAAAAATCACGACTCTCGCAGAAAGGTTCTTGACGATTTTTGTTCAGTTTGTAGAAGGCGAGAAGTTTCCGACTTCAACGGTGGGGATTTCAGGATCACCGAATCTCTACCGACGCACACGTTTTAATGAGAAAGCCCAGCTGTTGGAAAACGCGGGAATACTGCTGGGCTATAGCGCACTCTGAATACTCTTGAAAGGGCTGACCTAGGATCATAGTAGAACGCAGCGAAATGCTGTCCGTAAGAGTGTAATGAAAGTGTTTGCAAATCACACAAGGCCGGCGGAAGCTGTGCAAGAGAAAAGAGCAGGCTCATCTGCTAGTTGGCAGTCCCGCGTCGAAACGGGTGTTGATATGCCCCTGGGTCCGTCTGCAATAGTTGATAGTGTTCTGAATGGGACTGGGACTGGGACTGGTACTGGGACTCGGACTGGGCCCGGTTGTGGACTATGGGAAAACGAGGGCCAACAAATGTTACACGTATTCATTTCAAGCGTTTTTATGCGTTGCTTGGCTTTTGTTTTTACCATGTCCTAGCCACTGTCCACAATCATTGGGCCTGACACAGTTTTTGTTGCCACACAGTGGCATGTCCTGCACTCCTTCTCCCTCTCTCTCTCTCTCTCTCTCTCTCTCTTGTCGTGTTTCCCTCTGTCCCTCTTTATAGAAGGGGGAGCGGAGCTTTGTGCCTTTTTGTTACTTTAGTGGACTTCTCAACTGCCTGGCTGGATGACTGGTCGGCGTGGCATGGCATGGCGTGGCGTGGCGTGGCGTGGCGTGCCTGTGCGCTGACAGTAAATGCTGAAAATTGAGTGCAACTTGTCGTAACTTTATTTTCAAATATATGCGGAAAGGACTAACCAGACAATGCACAAAACTCGCACTCGCACTCGCACTACATGGCCACCATCACTTTCACAGCATGGCCACACTCAATGAGATATGTGTGGCGGGGCGCATTTAACATGCGAAGGCCAGGCGACGAGCTCGTCCAATTCAAAGGACATTCAAGGAAAATCAGCAGCTTGTATTTGGACTTCAGTAGAACTACCTTGAGAATAGATATGTATGTGTGTATATAGTAGATCCATCAGGTCTCTTAAAAAATGATGTATCAAAACTTTTAGATTTCGGATGACTTAAGCACCTTAAGCGTCCCTTGAGTCTCCGGGTTTTCACATACAAATGGTTTATTTGTTCCTAGGTCCTAAGATGAAGACTTTCATCTTGGAGGCAGTATTGATGTCTGTGAATAAGGATCTACTGCTTTGCCGGAGCGTATCCTACAGGAGTTCAACGGTTGACACATTTGTCGCC